AAATTTTAATAACTCCTGTGATAAGGGAAAAAAGAACAGGAACTAGACAACATCAGATTAAATTCACAGTACTAAATTTAATTCTTTCACATCTTAAACCATAGTGTAGAAAGTTCCCTTAGGGAAAACAAGCAAGCAAGGGTGCCAAGACATTTCTCTTAAGGAAAACACTAGGATGTTGTTCAGGTACTTACATCTTTGTTTTCGAGAATTTCCTGCTTGGCTTCAGGTTCAACTTCAACCAGTTCAGCTTCCTCTCCCAAGGCACCAAAGTCTGGCCCACCCATTGGAAGAGGCTCCAAACTCTGAAAACATAAAAGAAAACTGTGTGTAATATGGTACACGATTTGTGATTTATACCTTTTGCAAAGGAAAAAGGCTATGGTTCTTGATGCTGTGCTCATCAGATCATAAGGGGAAAAAAGCAAAAGAGAAGAATTAAAATGAAGGGGGGAATTACTAGCACACTTGTTACCTACTTGCTTGCTGAAATTTTTAATGAAAGCTGAATAGCTTCCATGTTGAATGACTTCTCAAAAATACCCAGCCCTCTTCCAAATATAACCTTATTTTTAAGGCACGCTTCCTGTGTTAAAGATGAATTCTACCTTCTTAAAAAAAAACTGCTTAGTTTGGGTTTTTGGGAGGAAGAGTGTGAATGTTGAACAATAGAAAAAAAAAAAAAAAAAAAGGTTTTCTCAGCATGTTACTTTTATATGCATTTTAGTATTAATTGCATTTTAATATTTCTTTTAAAAGTATCCTTCCAAGTAATGCTCAAGAATCTCAGGCCCTATCCATCAGAGGTGAACATTTTAATCAAAATAATTTCCAGCACAGCATGGCTTTATTTATTATACCTGAAAGACTCCTAAAATAAGACTTATCAGAAGATAATGGATTCAAGCACGGGTGAATAGAGGGTTACCTGCAAAAGCAGAGGTCAGGATTGGATAACTCAGTAAATCTACTTTTAGTCTTAAGTCACTAATATAGCACTTGCTGCATTATTTAAGGATAGCTGTTTTGCTGGAATAGTAAATTGCTGTTACATATCAGAATCAAGTTAAATGAAGACAGAATCCTCTCTTGCTCCCAATAATTTTCAGGCAAACATGATACACTCTCTATCCACACAATATTGTATATCAGTTTATACTGCAGATGGGTATAAAACCAAGAATATGAGAAAAAAATCTGAAATAAAATTTAAATTAGTCATGGTAATTATATCCTCTGGAGCCTTAACAGTCCCCTGCAGCAATATACTCCTCAGTCTAATTAAACTCTATGTAAAAGCCTGCTGGTTTTCAACAGCAAAGAGGTTTCCTACATGGGATCTTGAGGAATCATCCAGACCATTCTTAGCCCCCAAATAAGTCAGTCACTCATTAATCATGCCTATCGTCTACAACAGTTTTAAATGCGCCTATGCAGGCTTCCCATGGTTGTTTTCAGGGGAAAGTAGTTTAAGCCAAATTCACAAGATACTTCACCAAATGGACTTATGATTTGCACCGTGATTCCTTTGGTTTACAGTCAGTGGCACCACTGACCTTTTCTACATCACACTCAGATATTCTTATAGGCTGACTTTGTAATAACCTGTCTCACATGGCTCCCACGCCTTTTCATAAAGCAGAATACTCAAGAGTGGGCTGCTTATCTAAAATTATCCTGGGAGATGCTTCTCTAATGAAGAACCGAGGCATGGAGAATTCAATGCTTTCCTGAAGTATGTCAGAGCCTACGAATTCTTACTCTTTGAAATTCTTTTCTGATGTTTAAGACACACTTTTCCTGTGGCCATTACAACCACCACTTCTTGTCCTATCACGACAAACACTTAAATCTTTACCTTCCTTCTTTAAGCAATGGCATATGGATTCAGAGATTTGTGCTTCTGCTCACCGGGATCTCCGAGTGCTTCCGGCGTGGGAGACACAACAGACCTCTTTACGCAATGACTGGGGAAACACCAACCCACAACCTCCCCGTCTCACTGTGTGAGAGCTGCAGTTGTGGGGCAGTTTCTCTTTCCTTTGGGTTTTGGTTGTTGGGGTTTTTTTCCGTTTTTGGTTTTTTTTTCCGTTTTCATTTACGCAGCCTGCCTCTTGCCAGCCCCCACGGTGGCAAGGTCAACCCCCCCGCGGGGAAGAAAGAAAAACCCGCGAAGCGAAGGCAAAGCGCCTCGGTCCGACCACCGGGACGACGGCGGCAGCGCGGCCCGGCCCTTACCCCTCCCCATCCCCCCCCCCGCCACCAGCCGG